GTCCTTAATGTGTCAGAATATACCGCGTTTACCCTACTATACTAACATGGTAGACGGTAACACCTGCTGCCTGCGGCTGCAGATGTGCATTGGGCACTGCTATACTGATAGACTAGGGAGTAGGGACAATGGACAATGGCATACGAAAAGGGCGTGTATCTTTATATTTAAAAAAACGGACTGATTTTGAAATTATACAATAGGGTAAACGCGGTATATTCCGACATCGTAGGTAATTCCGTCACTTCTCTAGTTTTTCCTTTATATTAAGCTTTGTTTTAGTTCCATGCGTTTGCTGATGCGTAGTGAAGTGTTTTGAGAGTCACGTGAAGGCAACAGAACTTACGTAACGCATACGTTTTTTTTATAGTTTTTCATTTCTCGATGCGTCCTTAATGTGTCGGAATATACCGCGTTTACCCTAGCAATGTATAAAAATTTCTATTTGGGAAGAGTTCCTACCTATATATTTTCAGACAGAAGCCCAGTTTAAATGCCACCTACAGCTCATATCTTCACAAAATTGTAAATAGGGTAAATGCGGTATATTCCAACACATTAAGAACGTAGCAAAAAAATGAATGGCTATAAAAAAATCATTGTATGCGCCGATAATGCGCAGCTCGAGTTCCGTTTGCTTTATGTCACTCTCAAAACACCACACTATGCCCCAGCAACAATGAAACGTCACAAACTGGCAAATACAAGTATACTTAAAGGATTCCTAATATATTCACAGACTTATTTAAAAGGCTCAAACCATAATATTCTTTCTACACAAACAGTTTATCACTATTTGGTAGAGCAAGGTCAACTATCACGTATCAGGCCTTTTAAAAGGCGGCGCATCAGCGTGACCTTGGACTACGACGTCCTAAACTCATCATAAGGTCATAAGGTCTATCACCTTTGACACATTTTTCGATGTTCTCACTGGGTGACTTGCACTATCTCTCTTTGGATCTCAACATTTTCCCGCCAGATGACCCAGACCTAGTGTTTTGGCAATAGTATGGCACGAAATAGTATGATGTCACTATTTCAACCATCAACAAATGCGTGGAACTAAGACAAAGCTTAATATAAAGGAAAAAAGTTGAGAAGTGTCAGAATTACCCACAATGTTGGAATATACTGCGTTTACCCTAGATAGGTTGATTTGCTCATGTTTAACTCATTCTTGTTTGTTTTAATTTGATAATATATTTTTTATTATCTTTCATGTGAATTTTAGCATGCTAACAGACAACAGTTTGTACAGTTGTACTTGTGTTTAGGTTTTTGAACTGATGATGGAGGCATGGAGCTGCTCAGCTAGACTCCAAAATATTTTCTCGCAAAATAAATGGTGAATTCTTGGCTGTTTTCTTTCCTTTTCAATTCTTGAATAACAATTAGATAGAGAACAATTCAGCTAGTGGGAATCTCACAGCACAATAATGGCAGGAGACCTCAAGTAGATATATTCCATGCCTGCTTTGGTTTAAATATATAATGTATTGAATGTTCATTGTTTAATGCAGTAACATACATGGAATGCTGTGCTCTCTTAACTTGTATTCAAATAAACTGAGAGCATCAAATTACATTATCTTTTCTTACCTCCTTATATATTATTTTAATATATCAATGAAATAATTTTATATCTTTCTTCAATATTTTTTCCACCAGTGACCCAGAAATTAGTTCTGATCTGTTTCAATAGATAGACTTTCTCCAGCAATACTGTTCATTATGGATTCTTCAGCTAAAGAAGAGTTGGTGATGAGCAAAACAAATGATGAAATTACTTTAGTGAAAGAAGATCAGGAAATTTCAGACAATATTTTTGAGAATGAAAGTCTTGAAAAAGGACATCAGATTATTGAAAACATGGAAGGATTAAAAACTGATTCTATTGAAGGAAATGAGAACTCTGATAAGCACAAGTTCTTACTGCCTACATTACCAATTAAAGTTAAGAGAATCAGCACCCGATCTGCTCCAATAGTCACCCTGCCCAATGCTGATCAAGAGAAATGTCAGGAAGATGTTTCAACTTGTACATCATTGGGTGAAGCCAGTTTACCAGAGAGTAATGTGAACACCTCTCACAACCTGAAGACAGTTCCTATTCCATACAAGGTTAGCATCCCAATTCTTTTTTTTTTAAATTTGTAGTTTTTAATAATATTTCATATCTGGATCAGGTTTTTATAAACATACAAGATCCCATCCCATTAGTTTAGTTCATTCTGTTAACTTTTTTGTTAAACTTTTGTTAACTTTGTTAACTTTTTTCAAAGAAGTTAACAAAATATTTTGTTATAATAAATAAATTTTTTTTATAAAATTTGTAACTCAATTTATTAAAGTAATTTGTTTGCCATTTTTCTGTTGAGTATAAGCAGGTAATATAATGTTTATTAACCAGTACACTTCATTCAATGTTCTTTTTTTTTGCAGGAGCCATCTTGGAGCTCCCATCCTCCCGATGGTTACAGCTTTGAGGTACTAAAAGGAGGAGTCGTGGTAGACACTATAAAGCTTGACAAGCCGTTCTTAGTGTTTGGACGTCTGGCTCAGTGTGATGTCATGCTTGAGCATCCGTCAATATCAAGGTTAGAAAAAAATGAATATTTTGTAATTCCTCATTTATTTTTGGATTATGGAATAAGTGAAATGAATTAAATGAGACATGCATGTTTATCATTGTAAACTAATTGCAAGTAATCACCTGTGTGAGCAGCTCTGAAGATTTTTTCAAACTGCATGTTCCATTTTATTTTGTTTGTTCAGTTTTGGAAAAGTACTGAGAAAGTCAAAAAGTGTCCTTACATTCTGATGCTGGTTGTTTGGTTATTTTTTCCCTGTCTCTCAAATTCAAAGAACCATGAATTGAATGTATGGTAGCTTACTTCAATTTACTTTCTTGTTCTTAAGTCTTAGATCAATTACAGTATTGACTGTAGGCTTTGTAGTTCTATAAATGCAATATAACCTGATCAAAAGAAATGCAGTGCATTGATTAACACAAATGTTAGCAAGCATACTCATCCACAGCTGTGTTTTACTCCTTAGTACATGATGCCTAGTTTTTGGTGCAGTTGTTTTTAGCTATCCACAGTTATTTTTATTACAATCAAAGAAACTTCCTTCTTTGTCAAACCTCTCTTGGCATATCTCTATGCCTCACCATTAAGGTACACCTTATAATTTGGGAGCCACTAATTTAATAGAAGCTAAGTTGCATCCATACTAAGTGTGGTAGTGTTGCTAACAACTTCATTACGCAATTAATTTTCAACTAAAACCCATCCACTAAAGCTTCCTGTACTGTGACTGTTGGAATAGCTGCTGTAGAACAATTAAGTAGCAATTTGTAAATTTGCCTTAATGCCTCAATTGTTGCATTTTAAATAATGTGATTTACAAGCATATGGTTGTGAATTTATACCTTTATTCTCAATTTATACCAGCTCTAGTTATCCTTTTATGCTATGTTATTTCATCTTTATTTCTATTTGTGTTGGAAATATCTTTGCTTATTGCCTCTACGACATTTGGGCAGGTTTCACTGCATTGTACAGTACAGAGGAGTGACCTCAGAAGCGGCAGAGGCAGGCATTTATGTGTATGACTTGAGTAGCACACATGGGTCGTATCAGAACAAATACAGACTCCAGCCTAAAGTTTATAACAGGCTCAGAGTTGGCCATATGCTCAAGTTTGGTGGTAGCTCAAGAAACTTTGTACTCATGGTGAGCCTTTATTTTAGTGTAATCACTATTGTCACAGCAATTAAACATTGTTCATTTACCAAAGTTTAGGTACTCATTTAATAATATTTTGCATCAATGTGAATTTCGGAATTTCTGGAAGATGATTAAAAATACTTCTAAAAAACATTGTAACGATTCATGGTAAGCATGCTGGGAGAAACTAATGCAATAATAATGCTCATAAGCTTAGGAATTCTGTTGCTTTATTTGATGGGTCTGAATTAATGAATTTAATTTTTTTTAATTATTCCCTCTCAAAAATTGACAATCAAATGTTTCTGTAATAAAACTTTATGGAGAATTATTGGAAAGTGTGGCAGTTTGTTTTTGTAAATGTGACATTTTGGGGAAAAAAATTGAATTTTTACTGTTTTTTAAGAATAAAATGATCTTCCCTCAAATTCCACCCAGGGGCCTGATGAAGATGCTGAAGAAGAACTTCCATATACCGTAGCAGAGCTGCAACAAATGGCCAAAGAAAAATTAGAGGACAAGAAAAAGAAGGAGGCAGAGAAGAAACTGGAAAAGGAGAAGAAGGAGCAGCAGAGAATCAAAGATGAAGAAGAAAGAGGAATTGATTGGGGCATGGGTGAGCGAACATTACTCCTACAAATGATGCAGTTTTGCATGTTCATGTTGGGTTAGGCTACAGAGAACGCTTCTAATTCTTATATTAATTTGTTGCGGTCCAAACCTTTTTGAAAATAATTTTATTATTTGCAAGTTAATCTTTAACTTTAATGGCAAAAACAGGCCCAGATGCTGAAGAAGATGATGAAGACCCAGATGCTCCTAACCCCTTCAGTGAACTAGTACGAGAGGAGCTTTATTTAGACGATCCTAAGAAGTCTTTGCGCGGCTGGTACGAGAGAGAAGGCTATGAACTACCTGAATACGACGTCACTGAGGTCACGGCGGGACGCTTCAAGTGCTCTGTAAAGTAAGTAGCTTTAAGACAACCCAAACGTAATTTGTACTTATGACAACGTCGAATATTTATAAAAGGTATAGCTTACTGAGTAGGCAGGGTCTGCTAGACTGCTATAATGACTTCCGTTCCTTTACAAATGAAGTGGTAGATTTACCTTTTGATCATGATGCCTCTAGTAGTGTTTGAGCTGGAGTACGTCTGGTTGTGTGACTTGCAGGAAATTAGTGTGAATCACTCTAACCTTTGAACATTTTCATCATTCATTATTATTGACAGATAATGAGAATAAAAGTTATCCAACACCATTCTGCAGTCGTATGATCGTTATTCATCATTTTGAACATTAACTTCCATAATCAACTCGAATTTTGCATCTGACTCTGAAATGGGCTGATAACTCGCATCGATCACTTTACATAACATTATTTTCTGGTATCAGCATTGCGACTAATGTAACATTGTAGTAATGTTAATGAAGTAGCATGTCACTAGTGATATTTGATAGCATGAGGAGATGGTCTAGAGCTGGTAACAAGACGTGACCGTGTGCGCAGGCTACCAATACTGAGCCCGTCGGGCGAGCCTCTGATCGCAACAGTCGAGCACCGCGGCAAGAAGAAGGACACGGTCGTGCAGGCCGCCCTCGAGGCCTGCAGGCTGCTGGACAAGCACGGTCTCTTCAGGCAGGCCACTCATGGTACGTTCACAGCATTGCCTTGTCCCTCACCTGCTAATTTCAGGATGAGAATGTCATGATGTTATTTTGCATTCGCAGCATTGCTTTGCCTAGACAATTTGCCATATGCTGAAATTTCCATAAAATTTTCATGCATACACTCTTGCTCTTACTGCTTTTTGCTGTAAGAGTGCTTACACCCAAAATTTTTTTTCTTACCCCCAAATTTTTTTTTTTTTTGCTTACACCCAAACTTTTTTTTTTTGCTTACATCCAAATTTTTTTTTTCTTACCGTACTCCCCAACTTTTTTTTTGCTCATACCCAAACATTTTTTTTTTTTGCTCATACCCAAACTTTTTTTTTTTTGTTCTGCAAGTAGAAACGCTTTTTCTGGCGAATACAAGTTCAGCAAAGTTTCTAATTTGAATTGAATTGCATCGCTATTCTGTAATATAAAGTTACTTTTTTCATTGCTCAGTTATAACTTATAAGAGATACTCTATGTAGTACAATGTAACCACAGTTATTGTCTGAGAATCGTTCCTCTCGTAATACAGCTTCAATTACGACTCGCACCTTTCTTAATGTAGAAACAATTATGGCTCACTTGTTCCTTAATGTAGCAAAAATTACGACTTCTCTCTGCAGCAACAATTACAACTTTCATTCTTAATGCAGCAACACTTCATGCAATTCTCTCATAAGACAACAATTCAGTCCCTTTTTTTTTCTCTCTTAAAGAAGCAATTCATTACACATTCTAGCGAGTCGTGCAAGCAAAGTCGTCGTCGATAGCGACAGTGACGACGAGGACGAATTTTTGGACCGCACGGGGGACGTGGAGAAGAAGAGGGACCGGCGATATGTGCGCTCCTCGAGGCGAGAGAAGACTTACACCTACAGCGAGCTGGTGTGTCCTGCGATCTGCTGAGTGTATAATCCTGGAAAACTAGCATTATTTCTCATGAACTAATTGTTATTTTGAACATTAATGTTAAATGTGGTACTGTGATGTTTCAAACTCGTGCTTTGTAATAAAAGAATGTGTTCTGATACGCTCAAACTAATCTGGGACAAACTAAGGTATTTTTTACCACTTTTTATGAGGAGTATTCATCTTTTTCTACAGTTGATTCGATTAATACTTTTGGAAAACGAAAACATCACTTGTATGTTTTCGTGGAAGCTGTTTTTAGGTGTAAAATTTTAATAATGATTCTGTGTTTACTTGAGCTGGAGCGACCCGCTTCATGGTTCTACGTCGGTATCTCACGCATAATTTCAGCTGGAGCAGCACACAACAGCGGTCACTGAGCTGCATGCGCTGGCTCAGCAATTACTGGAAGTTCAGCGCGCTAAGGAGGCGACGGCTGGCAAGGACAGTGACAAAGACGCGGAAGACTTGGACGTCTTCATGGTTTCAATGAACAAACTTGCACTAGACAAGCACAAGATGCTCACTTGCAAGGTAAGGCGTGATTTTCAACATGCAATCTTTGATCAGCTTAACATTATTTTTGGCCGGCAGCTTATAAAGATAACTAAATCGTAAGTTTTATATTTCATTTTGATGGTATAGGAACTAATGAATGTGCCGAAACGTGTCATCTTTGTAGGTTAGTTGGGAATATTGCAGTAGCAATTAGTAATTGCTCATATTCGGATGTTTGTGAAATATTTGCTATAGGAATGAAGTGATGAAAAAGGAAGTCAGTTGTCAAATCGTGACTGTGAATGAAATTTTGTTTTTGATAATCGAGTTGTTTCTATGCATATCAATCTTCGTTATTATACCGCTACCATAATATGTAAATGCTGTATGTTTGCCTGCAGCTAAAGTTCATAGAGCTGCGCAAGGAAGAGGCGCGCGTACGGCGGCTGTTGAACGTGGCGAGACCTGCAAGCATCGCAGAGGTGGCCGCTCCATCGTACCCTCGTCAGTGATCACATCGCCTTCATTATTTGTTTATATTTGTGTCCTTGAATCCATTCCTGATGATGATCACCTTTTATTTATATCTGTGTCCTTGAATCCATTCCTCATGATGATCGTCTTTTGTTTATATTTGTACCTTGAATCCATTCCTCATGATGATCGCCTTTTGTTTTTATTTGCGTCTTTGAATCCATTCCTCATGATGATCGCCTTGTGCGATGTACGGATTGCTTCTTTAACACGTTGACTCCGTAGTGGTACATCTGCGTACCACGAAATGTATTTATCCAGGACGTAGTGGTACATAATTCAGGGTTGCCAAATCGCCTAAAGAACGGCCAAGTCCGCGAACAAAAAAGGCAAAAAAGGCCTATAAGTTATAACTCAATATATACTAGTATAATTGTAAGTTCCGGTGTAAAAATTCCATTTCTTGTACTATTAATTTAATTAGGAAGAACCCCTATCATTAATTTTAGCCATCCTACGCAATTGAAAAAGTAAATCGCGGAATTAGTCCGAAAAAAATACCGTCTGGCAATCCTGTTTCATAATAGTACTAGAAATGAAATAATAGTACTAGAGGAAGCAACCGGAGTCTACGTGTTAAATGTATATTTCCTCTGTAGGAATGTATATTAGTGAATTTATTCATATTTTTCGTAATTTGTATCAGTGACTCGTTGATATAATGATAGAGTTGAGCAGTAGAGATTAGCACGAATAGCTAGCATTTATGATGAACAAGATTTAGGGTTTGTAAACTAACGAGTATTGATTTCAAATTAGGATTGTTTACCTACAATTAATAGCTTTATGGTGATGAGCTTTGATCACTGCCGATGCAATTAATACGTTGTTTTATGGCATGTTTAATGGCCATTAATTAATTAATCGTTGTTTCATTCTCAGCCGAGTTGATCTTGCCAGGAACACAACGACCTGGTGACAAGAAACCTTCAACTGTGTCATCAAAATCTCTTCAGGCTCCTTCAGTTGCTCTTAAGGTAAATGAATCTTCGCTCGTAAATATGATCCTATAATATTCTATTATTTATATACTTTGTTGCATACTAATGTAGTTAGTTGCATCTATATCTTGTTAGCAAACAGGTGACAGGCGAGAAGGGTGATGCAAACTAAAGTTATTGTGAAATGTAATTTTGACATCTTGCGCTAAGCTCAGAATGTTCATTTTTCAATTATTGTTCATTCCCGTTCATTGTAATTTTTAAAACTTATGTTTTTTCTTGTATTTTTATTTCCTTTCGATTTTTAAACTTTGAAGATTCTGTAATGGCGCACCTTGCACTTTTATTGCTATTGTATTTTCCAATCCCATTGTTTTTTTTTATCTTCCAATCTCTTTGCTATTGTATCTTCTCATCCCATTGTTATTATATTGTACGTTGCCCTCTTATTGCCTTGCTTGTGTCATGACAGGGTTTGAGTGCGGGTGTGCACGCTGCATTCATGGAAGAGGACGACGCCCCTAAACTAAAGCTCAGTAAACTGGACGCCACTGAGGACTTCGTACCCAAATATATCCCCTACGACCGCAGTGCGTATGCTCCTACAGCTCGAGCGCGTGCTCTACCAGCGCGCACGCCAGCTAAATACATCATGTTTAATGATGATGCTCCTAAGCCGGTGAACACTTCACCAACTCAACCCAATGAGAATTCTATGCAAGAGTCGGTTGAAGTCCAACCATCGCTTACTGGTAGTGATGTGACCAAAAAGACTGAAACGATAAGCACACTCAACGGCAGGGCTTCGACAACATTAAACTCTCCCCACAGCCACGAAGAAAAAGAAATTAATGAAGAAGGAAATGCGATCAGTGGACCAGGGGATTCCATTTGCCCATCCCTGGATTCAGAACAATTGATTCCTGTTGATAAAAAAGCAAAATTGGATATTAACAGTGACTTTTTACCCGCCGGAACAAAGTCCAGACATCGGAAAAGCATGGGCGATGATAAGCAGCAGTCACTTCGTGCAGCTGTCAAGGTAATTAAAGTGTTTGTTTTAACTAATTTAATACTTACTTAACGTTCATTCTGATTCATATTGCTATTTTATAGTTTGATAATTCATGTTGAATTCACATTGTATTCATACACTCTGAATTTGAGTTTTTACCGATTATTTACCGAGGAACTGTATTTACGCTGCCGTTTATTGGTCTGTGTAGGTATGCTTCTTAACTCTCCGTCTCGAGACATTAACAGTTGTGACTTGGTCAACATATTTTTCTTCTCTGTGTTTTATCATATGATGATTGTCATTCGTTGTTCATGTGTATTTTGAAAATCTTGCTTTTTCAACCCCGCATAGAGAGCGAGTGGAGCAACGGAGAGCAAGAGCAGCAAGAAGCTGGCATCTTCGTTTGACTTCAACGATCCACGGGCGGAGGAAGATTGGCTGCCTCCACAAGACCAGACTGGCGATGGACGAATTCGTCTCAACGACAAGCTCGGCTACTGAACACGTCTATACATACTCGGGGGAACACGGCAATCCATACCCAACCCTCGTGATACACATCAATCTAAACCAGCACTTGTAGGCCCACAGACATGATCGTTTCATGCACTCGCAGAAGGAAGGCTTGAAACAGTTCTTGGGTGTAAGGGTATTAATGTTATCTTGGACGGACACCGAGCTCGTCCAAAAGATTTCTAAAACATTTTGCAATGAATGTAATGATGTGAATTGACTTCTTCAATCGTAAATGTGAATATAAATAACGCATTTTAAAGTACTCGCGAAGCTACATTTCTGAGCTGCGCAATGCATAGAAATTGAAGCCCTCTTCCATGTGACCACCTCATCGCAATGTAGCCGGCTTGCCGTACATTTTTTGTCTGTGATATAGTAGTTAAGTAATGTAATGTGCGTGTAAAGTGGTTCTTGGTGTAATTGTAATAGTTAATTAGGGGAAAAATTTAAACGAATATTTTGACATAGATTGAAATCTGATGTGATGCCGGAACTGCAACCTTTCCTTTTTGATCCATCGGCCGCTCCGAATACGTGCCCCCATTCACATGCACCTATTACTGCCCCTGCAATTGGTGGAAAGCCCCTGTGACATTTATTGCGTACCACCGCTACAGAATGCACCTTCTATTGCGCTGTACTGGGTTGCTGACAAAGGTCTCAACTGAAGGGATAGTACTCATCGTGTTGTACAAATGTGGTTTTAAAGTGAAACGGCGGTTAATATTATTTTTTATTAGAAAATGGCTGTTATTGGTGTTTCTTATTCTCCTGGACAGTGGACACACAGCCCTGTTATTTTAGAATTTTATTATAGCAGTAGTGAGTGTCGATTTATCGTTTAATGTAACTCATCGGGTGCTGAAACCTACCTCCACCCATGGCGTAGCGGTCATATCCTGGCATATACCTATGCGATAGGTGGTTGCCCATTAAGTGTGGATACATGAAGCCTCGATGTCCGTACCCATGTAGTCTACTCATGAAGGGTCGATGATGCCCACCTCCCAACATGCCAGGCTCGTGCATCATGTGCGGGTAAACGCCGTCACGCATCCCAAAGTAGCGCATGCTATCGAGGTACGGGTCTCCGAGTGTCCCGAAGCCTCGATAGCCATATGGCTTGTGCTCAATGGTGGACATAGGGTTTAGGCGCAAGCCTCGTTGGTATCCAGAGATGGAGTTGGCGTAGTACAGATCATTGTATTTTTTCCTCAAGTTGCTTCCGTATCCCGATACTCGATACCGGCCCTCAGGATCTCGGTCGTAGCCGATGATCAAGCCCTCTCCTACCGAGTCGCTCGTGTCGCTCAGGAGGTGGTTTCGCATGGCGTCTCCTCTCGAGCCAATAACGTACGGCTGCCTCTCGCTTCGTTCTTCAACCTCCTTGGCCTCGCTAGGGAATAAAAACTTCTCTTTCTCAGACGTAGGCAGGCCTTTAGGTCGCGATTTCTTCATTTTGTCGTCGTCTACTCTGTCGTCCGCTACTGGAAGTGTCAATGGAATGTCGAACATTTCAGGGTCAGCAAGTAAGACGCTGTCACTCTGGAAGACAATTCTGGACTCACCATTGGCCCGCGATGTGGCGCTTAGTATGAATAGCAGCAACGCTATCGATCTTTTGATAGACCGCCTCTGAAAATGGTTATTGAATAATATTAGTGAGATAGGCAAAGATTATTAGCGCTTCTGAACAAGAAATGTCGCACCGATATCGTGAATTTAGCCTTGCCGACAAATAAAAAGATAGCATGAATAAATTTGATCAATATAATTATGATTCAGCAGTCAGCACCAATAAGCAGAACAAGGACTCAAATTTTCGAATTTCAATTGGTCGCCACAGTGCGATGAATAACAAACAAGGGAGAGGTGAACAGCAGAAACGAGACAGCAAATTTGAACATGACAAAAAACGAAGACGGCGCAGGTGAATAGCACAACAAACGAAAAAAAGACAGGAAAAGGACATCAGAAAATAAAAGGATATTTAACATGCATTAAGGCGTAGAAGTATATATATTTATACACGTCCACAGAGACGAGAAGATTCGAATGATGCGCAGTAACGAAGACATGTCAGGAGACGAACAACGCGGACCGGGAAGGAACAGATGAGCATCAACGGGTCCGAAGACCCGTGTAAAGAAAACGCCTCCACAAGAACGCTGGCCATCGCACCGTGGACATGAAGGAGAGTGCAATGAAGTAGTCATGCCAATACAGCTTATTCCACTACTGAGACCTGCAGTCTGCGTTATGCCTCTATAGAAACCATGATTTATAGTTTTTGTTAGTTTCAAATTTTTTTCAAATTTATTTATTTATTCTGTTAGTTGATTCGTGCATTGCCTCTGACTTCACACAAGTGTGCAAAATTTCAGATAAATTAGACAGGTAAAAGTGTGTCAAATATCAGTTATAAGATTTATAGCTGAAAAATTTTTTTTTTTATTTTTACTATTGAAAATTTTTTTTTAATTTATAAAATCATTTATTTTGACATTTGATTCATGCATTGTCTCCAACTTTAAGCAAGTGTGCAAAATTTCAGATCGATAGGATAAGTAGAAGTGTACTAAATTTCGATTACAAGATTTGTAGCAGACAGACAGACAAACAAACAAACAAGAAGTGAAGTTAAAGAGAAGTGTTGTAATATAAACGTAACACTTCTTACATAGAAAATACTATACTCTTTTAAAAAATATAACAATCATCACATACATTGTACTACACGAAGTAAAAAATTAGACTTTTTGCATTAAACTAACAGTAAAAACTTTCAATTAGTGACTCACATTTCTATTGTCCATGTTGATATTCCGTCAAACCCAGGTAGACGTCGAACGAGCACTAGTGAACCGCAAGGACATCGCTGCTTATATATGCGACACCAGCGCCACATAATTAGCATGCATCACTACGACATCCTCAACTGAAAGTGATATTCGTTGCCACGCACGGTCGTAACGCTGATACAGCGTATATTCGATACAGGACAATGACTCCAACAGGAAACATTCCAAGGTCACAAGAGGATCTTTTTTTCGGCGTCAAAATGCGAAGAGAAAATTGATCATCCGATTGATGGACTTGTGTCCGGTGTGTATTTACCATAATTTAATTCGTAGGCTTTTGTTTTCGTTGGCCCTTTCCTCGTAAGAATTCTCGCCGTGCTAAAGAATAATCGTCCAATATCGAAAAGAACAATTCAGTCTAGCACTGAGTAGCAGGGATGGCCGTGTAGGATATGTTGAACCTCATCTGTACTATCTTCACAAGTAATAATATGCAGACAACACTTCTAAAGAATCTAAAGACAAAACTTCTAAAGAATCAACTGTCTCCGATGTTACACATGCATGTAATATGAACTTCTAATTTTATTTTCAAATGTTATAAAAAGTAATTTTTAATTTTTTTAATGTTTAGAATGCATTAATTTTTCAAAATTATTTATTCTGTCAATCGATTTATGCATTGTCTGCGACTTTACGTAAGTGTGCAAAATTTCAGATCGATTGGACAGGTAGAAGTGTGTTAGATGTTGATTATAAGATTTGTAACAGACAAACAAACGAACAAATAAACAAACAACAAGAAGTGAAGTTAAAGAGAAGTGTTGTAATAATATGCGTTTAAAACTTACTTTTTAAAGGCAACACTTTTGAACGATACAGTGTCTTGGATGTTACACTTGTACAATGAATTTCTAATTTTATTTTCGAATATTGAAAAAAATTATTTCTTCAATTTTTTTAGGATATCAAAATTTTGTAAATTTGCTGTGTTGTGCAACGCGGATTTACTGTTAGCCGGAGTTACCCACAGCTCATTGATCTGAGGCTATGTGTAGATATTGCATGCTGATGGCTGGCGTTGGGCCCGGGGCTTGTTTACGAGTCAATTTTGTTACCCACGGCTGCGCTCCCCTCGAAACAGCAGACAACTTTATGTCCAATGTGAGATACTATACATCGGACAAAAAACAATCGTCCTTTTTGGGAAAAGAATGTTCCGCATATTACCTCACGTAGGCCAAATGTCGCAGCTAGGATTGACGGTGTTCCAATGATCGTAGCCTCCACAACAGGTAGGAAGTTTTATTCATTGGATCCCGAAGGACCCCCCCTCCCCTTTAGGAGGCAGGATGTTTTATTTTTGGGTCCCGAAGGACCCCCTCCTAACTCCCTTCCCCCAAGAGCAGAGCAGTAGCAATGTGAAGGCTACTGCTCTGCTCTTGGGGGAAGGGAGTTAGGAGGGGGTCCTTCGGGATCCAATGAATAAAACTTCCTACCATTCACCGGCCACCGTCGCTCTCGCCGCGTGGCTTGCAACAGCCACAAAAGAGTCCCCGCAAGAATGCGGTGAATCTCTTCCCCTTCTTGGGGGACGGCGCCTCGCTTCGGCTCAGCTCTGGCGTCACCAGAGAGCTACTGGCTTTACCAGAGCAATCTTTTGCTGGGAAGGGTGAGCTGGGATCCCAGGGATCCTAACTGGCGTAGGCAGGACTGGCGAATTGCCAGTCCGACA